TAATAATAATAATAATAATAATAATAATAGCAATTAATAATACTACTAATAATTAATAATAATAATTAGTAATAATTATAATAATAAACAATTAATAATAATAATTACAGTAATAATAATAAATAATAAATAATAATAAATAATAATAAAATATTTTGTTGCAGTTGTCTCCACCAGTAGCTTGCCCTAAACGCAAGCAAACGCAGCAGCAGCAGCAGCTGCTGCTGCTGCCGCTGCTGCTGCTGTTGCTGCTGCGGATGCTGATATTGCTGTTGCTGCACGCCGGTGCTGCTGCTGCGGTTGTTGCTGCAGCAGCTGCTGCTGCTACAGTTGCTTCTGCTGTTGCACCTGCACCTGCTGCATTGATGTCTTATGATGGCACTGAGCTGCTGCTGCTGCTGCTGCTGCTGCAGTAGTTGCTGCAGCAGCTGCAACTTCTCTGCCTGTTGTTGTTATAGCGTCCTTGTTAACGCTCCTACAGATGCTGCTGCTGCTGCTGCTGCTGCGGTGGTGTGCGTCTCCTAAGCCTCCTGCGGCGCTGCAGTGGCTCTGTACGATAATAAACAAATGCTGTAGGAAGCAGAGACAGCAGCAGCAATCCCTGTTTATCATCTTTTTGCTGCTGCTGCAGCTGCTGCCACCGCTGCTGCTGCTGCTGCTGCTGCTGCTGCAGTGCCCAGGAAGCAAAAGAGCCTCCCAGCAGCTGCAGCACTCGAGCAGCATTCAATTGCGCCCCAGCCAAACCTGCTGCAGAAAACAGCAAACAGTACCTGCTCTTGCTGCTGCTGCTGCTGCTGCTGCTGCTGAGGACGTCAGCGACGGCGTGTGGTGGGGTCGTTGTGATGATAAAAGTAAAGACAGAAGAAGCAAAAGCTTCACGTAAATCTAATGAAGACCCTTGCTGCACTAAACACTGCAGCAGAGAAGGCCCTGCAAACGGAGATGCCCCAGCAGCAACAGCATCTGCAGCAACATAAATGCTGCAGCCCTGCTGCTCCTGCTGCTGCTGCTGGTGCTGCTGTTGCTGCTGGGCGTTGGCAGCTGCGGTCAAGAAGTAATGCGAAGAAGCCCCAAGCAACTCTCGGCTGCATGCAGCAGCACGAAGCACTTGCTGCTGCTGCTGCTGCTGCTGCTGCAGGTGCTGCTGCTGTAGCTCGAGCGCCACAAAGGGAT